CCAACAATCAGATGACCCCCTGTGAACAAGCGCTTTGGTGACAGTGGGAGGGAAAAACTCCTTTAAACGGAAGAAACCTCAGAACCAGGCTTGGGGAGCGGCAGCCCTGAGTGGTAATGACTAATGCACCATAGAAACATAGGATATTTCAATTTAAATTTACTGAACTGCATCATTATATCCACAAAACATTGTAACATTGATGCCACAAAGGCCATTAAATATAATCAGCTGATAGCCTAAATTCAGCCAGCTCATGTTACCAGACCCAAAGAGCAATCTCATCTCCAGACTTCTAATTTTATCTCTTCTTTCTGAAATCTGTCGAGTACCTAAAAAATACCCAAACTGTTATAAAGAATGTGAAAAAAGACTCACGCCAAGCAGGGCACCTACACATCACTAGAAACACTATTTAGTCATAGTCAAACCTAATTATTGTGATATTATTTATTTATAACGTAATCATATTGTAATACTAGGATTGGAAGTTAATATAAATTACACCAGGGCCACAGGGCTTTGTCATGGTCAGCAGTTCATCTCTTTACGTTTACCTTGTGTTTACAGTTCATGAGCAGAACTCTCTATTAGCTTGTTTTTCATCCACTGTCATTAGTCATAATTACTTCCTTCTAGATTCAAGGTAGTATAAAGATTACAGTTTAAAATGTGATGCACTTAAAGTACTGAAGTAAACAGAAGGTTTTTCTATAATTCAAGCATTTCCTTTCAGGGTGTAACAGAGAAAGAAAGTGAAAGATTTTCTCACACTGTCTGTCGTCACATGAGCTGATCGGCTTGTCACACTGTCACATTCCATAAACCAAGAAGTTCATAATGCAAAGGATTGCAGTGTTCCCAGATTCCTCGCTCGATTTAAGTGAACAAAAAGAAAGAGCAATACAGAGAACAACCGTTTTAAGATAACATAAAGTTTTCTGTCTGCGAGTGAAACAGCTTAAAGCTAATGAAGGCTGTCACAACATGAGATTGTCATGAGGCGATTCTTTAAGGCACTCCAATTCATGTTAACACAGCCACAGATGGTGACAGTCAGTACACTCCATGAGGAGTTAGCCACAGAAGGTAACTGCTGACAGGACTGGCTGTTCACAGAGTGCTAAATTGAAGAATATGAACTGAAAGTTGGCAGGAAGGGAAAATCAGGGTTGGAAAAGATGCAAAAGAAACAGAGATGACCGCAGCATTGGCAGGATTGTCGAGTCAAGGTGTTTCAAGAACTTTGGAGAGCTTTACAGGGAGTGGACAGAGGCTGGTGTCAGTGCATCAAGAGCCACCGTGCACAGATTTCTTCAGCAAATTCCTAAAACAAAGCCCTCTTGAAACAGCGACATCAGTAACATCTTACAGGGAATAAGCTGAACTGTTGTTCAGTGGTCCAGGGTCCTCTTTTCACATGAAAAGTAACTTTGCATTTCATTTAGAAATTTAGAAGGTGTTTGAAACCTGTCGTCACGTGTCTGCAGTCTCTGATAATTTGAGGTGCCACACCAGCCGCTGTCATCCACTGTGTTTTATCGAGTCCAAAGTCAATGCAACAATCATCCTGGAGATTTTACAGCATTTCATGGACCAAAGTTGTAAACCAACCAGTCATGCCACAGTACACAGCACAAGTTTTCCTCAGCTCCCAGTCTCCTGGATTATTATTATTATTATTTTAAAGTTTAGTTATTTTTGTTGCAGTTGAGATTAAAAAAAAGTCTGATGCATAACAGCTGATGCTTTGAAACGAAGAAACAGAAGGAAGAGACAGAGTCTGTTTCACTCACCGTCTGAAACGATGCTGTACAAGAAGCTGCAGCACGTTTGAGCTGCTGTGTTTCCATCTTGACTCAACGCAGCAGAAGTGACAGCTGAGAAACACGCAGCCTTGTTCACGTGTATGCACACTCACTGTTTGCTGATGTCAGACTGAAATGCAGACAGAATCACCAAACACTTGTTTTTCTTGCACAGACAAACAGGCGTGCCACTCTCTGTTTGAACAAATCCGTTAAGACACAGACGCAGTCTCTTCCTCACAGACGTGCACATTTTCTCTCTCTCAAAGAGACAAACATAATCCTTTTCTTACACGCACACGCGCGCACACACGCAAAAAAAAAAAAAAAAATCACTCCCAGTGTCAAACAATTCCAACGTTTCTGTCTGACAAAGCTCCCCTTCATCCTCAGAAAAAGGCCTGTTTGTCTGAAAGCGATGCTCAGTGGGACATTCACATTCTAGTGAGCCCAGTGAAATATAACACACATTTGGATACACGTATACAAACAAAATAATACCCCAGTGTTACAAAAATAACATGTAGTTATCCATAGATGACTTTTTA